AAAATATTGCAAAAACACTTTACAATTTTCTGGGGAAATGTTGAATAATTATTTGACAAATGTTAATCAAGAATTTGAAAAATGTTGAACATGTATTTGAAATTTTTTTGAAAAAGTATTTCAACAAATTGTTAATCAATCATTCAGAAAATGTTGAACAAGAATTTGGAAAATGTTAAACAAGGATTTGAAAAAACATTGGACAAGTATTTGGAAATGTTAATCAAGAATTCTAATTTTTTTTGAAGAAGAATTTGAAAAATGTTGAGTAATTATTTGAAAAATGTTGAAAAATTATTTGAAAAATGTCGAATAAGCATTAAAAATGTTGAAAAAGTATCTAGAACAGCTGAATACATATTAAAAAATGTTGATCTAGTCTTTGAAAATTGTTGGACAAATATTTGAAAAATGTTGAACAAGCATTAAAATGTTGAGCAAGTATTTAAAAAATATTGAATAAATGTTTGGACAACGTTGAACGTGTATATAAAAAATGTTGATCACTTATTAATAAATGAAAACTAAACTAAAGCAGAGAAGTAGGAAATTAATAGAAACAAAATAAAACGAGAAAGAACATTTAAAACCGAATAGAAAAATAAAAAATGAGACAATATAGAAGAGAAAATAAAAAGAACAAAATAGCCAAAAAAGGAAGAAAAACCAAATAGCATAGAAGAAAATGAAGAAAGAAGACTAAAATAGCGGCCCAGCTACTTTATGCCCAGTGGTTAGCAGCGCCAGCCAAGTTGCTAGAGACCTGGGATTGACTTTTTGGTTCCCTATTTTCTTATGTCCTTTTTTAGCACTGCACGTGCGTAACGGGGCACCCTGATACTGTATGGCTCAATGCGAGAGTTACCGCTAGCCTCGCTTAATGAGAGAAATAGACGCCGCGAGTTCCTGATCGGGCGCCTACAGTGCTGATTAGGGCCTCCCTGCCTACCAGGCCTTCACCACTGGTTGGTGGGTGGGCTAACAAATATCGCAAATGTTATTTCTCGCCTACAGCGCGATGCTACAGGGGCGACCCGATAATGTAGTCGTGCGCTAGTTTATTTTCCTGTAGTTTTCAATGTTTTGCATCTGTTTGCTTTGGGTTCTCTCTGCTTTTATTCAATTCTTGATTTTCCTTCTTTCTTTTTTCCTTGATTTTCTTTGTCTAATTTTTATATTATATGTTTTTGTATACATCAGGAATATGTTATATACACATTTAATATTTTCAGGTAAATAACTATCTATTTAGAAAAGTATATGTTTTGAAGTCTACTTAGTTTTCATACACATTGTATATTTTCTGTATACATCTAAACTATTTTTTATATACCTTAGGCATTTTAAAAAATTCATGATTATCATTTTTCCAAATACTATATTGAACATTTTTTCGAATATGTGTCAAATATTTTACAAATACATGCTGCAAATATTTTTTCAATGTTACAAATTTTTTTTTTTAAATATGCAGATTTTTTTTTCAAATGTCACAGACATATTTGTGAAATGGGCGAACATTTTCTTGAATGGAACGTATATTTTTTGAATGGTATGAAACATTTCTTAGTTACATAAACATTATTTTACATTGTATAACATTTTTAAATTGTCACATACATTCTTTTGGAACGCTTGAACATTTTTGAAATGCCTCATGTTGACTCTGATAGACGTAAGAGTAATATATTGCTTAGTCGCTTGCTGTAACTATACCGGTTATCCTTTACCACACTTACAATTATTTTTTAGTAGAAAGACGGTAAGGGTGATCCCTATAGTGTAATTGGTACAACAAATCCAAATTGCGAATACTGTGCCTTGAACCTCCATGGGTGGGAAGACATCAGCCCCCTTCCACTACTAGGCTGTGCTTTAGTCTGCACCTATAAGTATTGTTAGTTCTAGTACCATTGATAATGAAACTTGCTGAGTACCCAAAGTACATGTTGCTACTTCAACAGGGATCCTTAGACAGGATCATCACTACGTGGAGTTCTTCAATGACGAGGACGACTAGTTTAGTGGGACCAGGCCGGTAGCCTACAACAACAACAACAACAACAACAACAACAACAACAACAACAACAAGTCACTACTTCAACAGGGATCCTCAGACAGGATTGTCACTACGTGGAGTTCTTCAATGACGAGGATGACTAGTTTAGCGGGGCCCGGCCAGTAGCCTGGAACTAAAGTGTTGCGGGAATGTTGCTTATGTTTTCCTGCCACTAAATCATCATTTGATCTTGTCTGTACTCAGACCTGTCTTCTGATGTGATGATGTAGGTTGGACCATGTGGTCTCTATGTCTAATAATTTGGATCATGGCACTTGTATGCCTTATTCATATGTATATAAATATGTTCCCTCTTTGGTAGTGGAATTGTTGTGATATTCAAGTTGTAGAGTCCGTGGCATATGACAGTCCGTATGCTTACGACGGCTTTGTATGCACTTCTATTATAGAAATGGACCCCTACGATATATACTTGGAATAGTTTCGCATATGGGCATTATAGTATGTGTAGGCGAGTAAAAGAAAATCAAAAATCAAAGCTATCAGGTCCGTGATGGGTAAGCTAAGACATGATCATATTCGCACCAACCATCTCATGAAACCACACAGATGATGAGGTTTTTCAACAACAACGTCTTGAAGAAGGGAGCGACACTCAAGCATCCCTGCCACTTGATTCAACCACAAAGGTCAAAATCTAGGTTGTCACCTAGAAGAATCAATCCAAACATATCCAAGTAATGCCCTTAACAAGGTAACAACATAAAAACATCGACATTGCTAGGTATAACTAGCCCAGGTCAAACCTAGGCTTTCATACTGGAGCTCGCGACCAGGTGCTCGAGTAGCACCATCATCAAAATCACTCAAGCAGACACTTCCTCATGATCCCGCTAACTGCATGCGATGTATCCGCTGCTGCTGCATAAGCATCCCTTTACGTCTAGTTGTCATCCATAATTTACATCTCACTGCCGAAGTCAACAACAAGATCTTGACAGATGACCACCGCCGTCATGAAGCCGTAGGAGGTCGGCGCAGCATAGTCTGCAGCCACTGCCACTCGGTTGACGAGATCTAAATCACTGCCACCAAGCCGTAAACTGTAATATCGTTGCTCGCTCACTGCCTGCGCCAAAATCCACCACCTTGCCACGGTAGTTCACGATTATGCAGCTCTGGACTGCCCACTGAGCCGCGGGCGACCCGCGCAACCTCCAGGAACCCGACGCCCGCACAGGACGCCCTCCAGCCAGATCCGTGTCGCAGCCGCCAACCGTGTGTATCCCATGGATTGCATGCTGCAGATCTAGATAGGGGCGTCTTCTGGGCACCACATACACACGTCGATGCGGACCTGCCTCTGCCTATCGTATTGCGCGGCTGAGGACCTGCTCTCCCTGCCGCATCACGCCGCGCTCTCCCATGTCCAGGTGCGCATCACAACATCGGCTTATCGCGCCCACTGCGCTCACACCTCTCCTTGGCCAAGCGGCCCCGCACTGCCCAGTCCTCACGAGAGGAGAGAATGAACTATCCCGCCGCCGTTGGCGCCGTGCAGGCTTACAACTGCGAATGGAGGAGTAGAGTTTCACTTCTTCCGGTCTCTGCACTAAACAGGGATGCACACGGCCTTTTAGTTATGAGTATCATGATTTTTATCTTGAAGTGCAGTCCAACAACACACCAAGCATGGTCCTTAGATAATTTTTTTTATGGTTTTCAAGATTTTATCTTGATGACTGGTCCCACCGCACATCAAGCTTGATCCTCGGTTAATGGGGAAACTCATGTGCATCACCTATCAATTTTAGAAATTAAACCTGGGTGGTTAGGCCGCACAACCTGATGCCTAACCACTGAGCTGATGTTCTTTTTGCCGGGATCTATTAAATAGGCTTTAGTCTCTCAAACCAGATAATTTGCCCCTAGAAGCTAGAGATGCTCTCACTCAATGAGTTGTAGGCAACAATTCAGGAAATAACTATACAACTGGTGGTCACTAGGAACACCCATCAAGTGTGTAAGGCCATCCGTAGTTGGAGTATCATGCATGCGAACTAAGCAATTTTGATGATGTGACATAAAATTAAATGAAGAAAGAGAAAATGAGTTTAGTGATGCAAGCATGACAACGTTCATGCTTCAGTTTATTTTTGACAGAAACTTGACGTGTGTCATTGAAAACTGCCATCCTTACACATGATTAAAATTGCCATAAAAAAATATCAGTGCGGGAGTGCCACACACCAAAAAATGGTACTAAATTAATTACGAAAAGGA